CTTCCCATTGATTAGTTAGTCGGATCCCAAAAGCGAAGAATTTTTTATCCTTACGGGCGATCCACGCCTTGACATCGGCCATCAAGTCATCCAAATCGACGTAACTTCTATTCTCTAGCCATTTTTTCGATGAACGGTTGACGAGATAATCCATAAAAGTTTCTGCTGGTGAATATGGTAGATTTAGGGGCAGATCCCATTTCTTGGTTGGTTCTGGCTAATTGTTCGATCGCCGAAAAGTTACTGAGATCGCGGAATGACTGCGCCACCTTCCAATCTTTCTCGAAGTAGTTAAGCCTAATTTCGCGAATATGCGGATGGTTTTTTGTGTATAGTCTTGTAGAGGAAATCAAGTAGATCATTTCTAGAAAAAGCCCGAACTCAATGGTCAAACACTTTCGGGAGAAAAAAAGCCGCGAAAAAATCCGCAATAATTATGCATCAACCTAATATATTTGTGTGTTTAGCGGTCTTTGTAAAAGTGCAAAGTGCTCACTCGAAGGAAACCAGGAAGACCGCCATGCTCCATGATAAGGAAAGTGCAGACGGTATTGGCAGTTATCTGCTTGTCTAATTGTTGTATGCGCATTCCACGTTTTTCGCACAAGTGGCCCCCTTATAGATTGATAAAAACTAATTAGAATGTCACTCGTGCAGACAAACGGAATTCTTAAGAGGATTTGTCGAATGAGTATTCGGCTGAAGGTATGCGCTGCCCATGTGGACCGAGCAGAGTTCATCACGCACTGAACGTGAACGGTATTATTTAGCCGATGCTTTGCCAAGCGATTAGAGCGCCAATGGCGCTGACTGGTGAGGGTCCCACTCTTGAAAATCTATACGACCATGCAACATGATGCCTCCTATATAGTAGGACCTCGATCATTGGAACGATTACATTCAACAATGATTCCTGAATGAATGTGTATTTTCATTTTTTGCCATATATGAGGGTGCTCCAAAATCACTCCTCAAACTGAACCTGCTCTCATCCGAAATGAGTACACGGGTCCATTTTTCATCGGTCCATTCGCTATGCTCCTGCCACTACCGAAACGGCGCCGATGCGCTAATACGAAGAAGCACAACGAACACTGTGGAATGGTCTGCCTTAGAGCCCTGTTATATATCGTTATAAACGCATAAGCTGACTGATCTGAATACCCCTTCCCCCACGCGTGCTGCGCAGTGTAACGGTCATCCTTTGGTATGGTTGATCTTTTCCGTTTTTTTTTCCTTCGAGCAGCAGCACCAGTGGTTCGGAACGCTCCAATTTGCATAAAACAACGCCTTGAACGATACCTATTCTATCTTCCCCGTGTTAGTCATCCAGATGCTGCCTACAGGGTATGTTGTATTGAAGTCATCAACCGCTGACGTTTATATTTTGTGCCATTTTGAGTAATTTTTACCCAAAAGAAGCTTCAGTTCCGTGTACGTAACCGTTATACGTTTAGTGAAATGCTTCCTCACTTTTTTTATTTTCATCTGTGCCGGCGGTTCCGTGGTTCTTACGGACTCCGATTACTACAGAGTGAAATGAAACAAGTAAATAATTAACGCGGATATTACCGCTAGTAAAACAGAGACTAATGATGAATAAACCTTTATCAAACTACAGAACCTACAGCTCGTCCCTGACGTTGTTAGAGATAGAAGTGAGAACCACGCTTGTTGGTGGTCCGGCTTGACCCCTTATCATTTGGGGGTGTGGGCCAAGTTAGGGAGTCGTCTCAGACGGTGAAACGATGAAATGGTTATAGGGGATCGTCGTCCGTAGACAACGATACACCCAGTCCTTGGTGTTTTATGTTATTTATCTTTACTAACACCAACCTATGTTTTGCACACCACTGTGCTTGCGCCGAAGAATCAGAGAAAGCTGAATCTTCATAGTTTGTAAGCAATCTAGTGAGACGGTGAGTTGAAGAAGATTCGATCCAGAAATGTGGAGCAGCAATGATGTTGTTTTCAAATGCCCGCGCACTGGATACCGCACTGGATAGTCGCCAATTCCTTGCTCGTGGCCGTCATTCAAACGTGTCCATTTCGAAACCGCAGAAGGATGCACCGCACAAGAAATGACATGATGCCATCGAAGGTAGATTCGAACTTCGGAAAAGGTCCATCAAGGCTATTCCCCACCATACTGATTTGTACACTCTCGAGAAGTAAATGTGTCAGATCAACAAGTACACTGAAGTCGAGGACGCGAGAAAGGGCAAAGCTCCATATATTCCGTTTCCTTCACCCTGTTTTCGATTACTGCTATTGACTGTACTCATTCATTAAGCGAGTAGAGCGAGTTCTGAAATTAAAGCAAGTGGAAAGGTTGCCTCGTAACTGGATCTTTAGGTTGAATACATTGAACCACCCAGCTTGTGAGCTACGCCTGTAGCGGCAAGATCCACGGAACCACCGAACATCGAAGCAGTAATGAAGAATTCAACCACTACAGGGATCAACGCCACATTTAGTCAGATCAATAAACCACAACGTTATAATTTGAACATGTTTTTAATAAATACCCTGTAGAACAACGGACTTACCCTATGTCTTTCCTACCTGGGGTATACCTCCGTTCACCGGTCGTTTCGGGTCATTATTTTCATAGTATGGACAAAGCCCGAATTTCTTCTCGTAAAAAATGACTATTTTCTCTCCAGTAAAATTGAAACCTGAAAGCAAAATTCGTTGATTGAAGTCGTTTTTCTTGCTTGTCGATTGCTCCAGTGTCTGCTCGGCCTTAAGTGCTAACATTTAAATCATGAGCACAAGTGGGATCGCCCTGCTAACGCCTAGCACTTCTCCTTTTCGTGTGAAAATAGCCTACCGTCTATGTTCACTCCAAATTTGGGCGCCTCGTAGAGTAGAACACGAGGCCATAATTTCCGGCTAAACATAAGCACACACACCCGACCCACACTCCGTGAGCTCGCTCGAGTTTGTGAGCAGAGTTCTACTCAACTCGTGTGCGTTAAGTAAATCGGTTCGCTCTCCTTTTTTTCAACTCTAAAGTTCAACACCAACAGACACACTTAGCGGCTTATATAAGTAGGATCATTGAAGCTTTTGCTTTTAAAATGTTTGCTATCATTGAAAACCTTGATTCACCTTCATTGTGAATGATTTTGAACTTGTTGAGAGGTATGTTGATTTTCTTCCTTTCACAAGGGCGGCTCGGCAAGTTCCAAAACACCTTCAAAACCAACTTGATGATTGGGTTTATTTGCACAACGCTACTCACCTTATAAAACCCCTGAGCTGCTGTGGAGACAATCAGAAAGGCAAGTAGAGATTGTACAAACAGAACAAACTCTTTCATGGTAAGGGCCTAAACGAAGAAAATATAGTAAGCTATTAATGTTAAAGGATCTAAAATAGCCTATAATGACTGCTGACTGGCTTTCATTTTATCATTTCTTGCGGGAAAGATGATATGATATTGTTTTATCGAGAATCCGTTTAAATGAACTTCATAATGTGTGAGCGTATTCGATCGGTATGAAGAGGCCTTCAATATTGTCGAGACAGAAGCGATGAAGTTTTGACCAACCAGGGTAAACCTTCATAGCAACTAAGGTGCTTCATGAGTTCCACACAACTATATGACCAGGAAATCGTCACTGTATGAAAAATTCATTCTCAATGTGAGGGGAAGGAACTGGCAGTCCATGCCAGCCTGTCCGAACTTTTCACTGGTGCTCTCATTCTACATCGTTAGGAAAACGTGAAAGGATCACGTAAGTTGAGACAAGAAGACTTCTACCTACATCCCACCAGCCTTGCAAGCGATAAGGTGGAACGATTGCTGGCCATATTCAACAAAGATTGTGAAATGATTGGCTTTCGACTGAATCTAACGACGACGATGTTCATAAGAAACGAACTGGTACGTGATGCTCCCTTCACGCTGAACGGAAATATTTCTGAAATCTCTAGCTATGTGTATTTAGATCGGGAACATGATAAAGGACCTGATACCGGAATTGAGCTGAAGGAATTGCGGGGAGTGAATAGCATAAAAATATCGAGAAGGCAGCCGAAGAATACAAAGAACGCCGGTTCCGCGCTCACCTTTTCGATACTGCAGCACTTCCTGCTTTCACATGCACCCCAGAGGCCTGGACTCAAGCATAATCGGCAGAAGTCAGCGTCGTTTAATGCAAGGGGAAAGTCTTTTGGGAAAGACAACGCACTTCCCCGATGAACGTGAGTGCGTGGGGGAACGGAGATTCAAGAGTCTGACCTTCGTCAGTAGACGAAGATCCGGTGAGGACGCGTCACACGCAATGTTGTGGGGTTGGACCAGGGTGGATGCTGACTGATTACCTCGAAACGCCAAACGAACACTGGAGCCATCGCTACAAACAGTTTCCGTCACGAAAGGAATGCTGTGCTTCTTGTGCCTGGTTACCTGGACTACATCAGCTCTCGACAGGAACAAATGGAGACGCTGCTGACGCTCGCTTAAAGGCAGAGTTCACGATAATTTTGGGTAACCCAGATGGAAGACAGGATGGAAAATAGCGCGACGAAGGCGAAGAAAGCACGCGAATTGGTGTTAGCAAAGTGAAAAAAGGTCTTGAAAAATCGTTGAAAAGGGGGCTGGACGAGAAAGAGACCAGAAAAATGAAGAAGAGTGGGGCGTTTGAACGAGCTATNCAATGTGTTGGTCCTGGTGCAAATAACTGACTATGGTAAGCAAAAGTTAACAAAAAAAGCCTAGTAACAGCTAAAATAGCCCATTTTTTCAACCTCTCGAGGTACGAGATTAGAATAAGGATTGCAGCAGCAAAAAGGATAGCAGAGAATAAAAGAATGGGCGAAAAACATCGCCTCACCACTCAGCGATCAGCTGATTGTGTGTGGGTCCTAGAACGAATATTGCAATCTGTATCGCTTGACGTCGATCGCGGCACGGGATGTCCGGGCGATCCGGTAACGGGCGCCTACTACGTCCTAGCGGCTGAGTTTTGAGACTCGGTAACATCCTTCCTATTACCCTTGGGAGCCTCTGGGTATCCCTAGAGAGAGAACTCGGGAACCATTTTATCGTGAACTGTGCCTTTAAGGGGACCGATGATCAACAGGATGAAAGGTCAAACAAGTGTAATAAATGACCCTATGCGAAACGGTAGTTCGAAAAACAATGGAAATCATGTCATACTGTCTTCTCACATATATAATACTTATGGTTAGAAATAAGCTCTGACACTCATGCAAAATGGTCTTACGTAGATTTCGAGGCTTATTTCTACGCTATCTCGAGATAGACTTGAGCTATTGCATTTTAGGGTTATCGAAAGAATCTTGTGTACAGAAGTGGAGGCGTCGTAGCGGCTATTGGGCTTATCTATTCCTTGGGGTTTGGGTGTGGTCGATGTACAACAGAAATAGCACGGAACGTGAAGAAGGACGAAGAAGTACTATCAGAAACAAAGACTATCTGGAGCGCATTCCTAGGCAAATAGACTTCCAACGAAAGACTTGGGACTTGCACTAATGAAATCAGGTGAGCTGTCTTCGCAGTTCTTCTAAATCTAACAAAAAAAANAAAAAAAACACTCCTTTATCAAATTTCAACGTACGATAAGTAGCTCCCGGACAAGCTAGGTGCACACAGTGTCTAGACCAGATTGTCTTTCCTTACCATTTCCTCAGCCGAAAAAGCGTCGAAGGAATGAGATACTGTCTAAATAGTGTTTTAAGGCGGGCTTGATTTAAATTGGCTCACGAATAGTCATTGAAGCAACTGTGCTAAAAAAATACATACAAATTATAGATCAGGTGTATCAAGAAGTTGAACGACCGCGGCCTCTTCAAAAGTGCAGTTCACGATGAAAATTGTTTCTGCGACTTCCTCCTAGAATTACCCCAAGCGTAACACAAAGGACGTTGTTGGGACCCGGCCACGTCCACGCCCGTCGACCGATGTTGGGTCAGACGAGTGTTGAGCCGATACAGGTTGCGCTATTTCCATCAAGATCCGCACACTCAGCATGGATTCAGCTAATCACCGGGTGGTGAGGCGATGTTCTACTCTTATTCTGTTATTATCAGTAGTTTTTTTTTTTTTTTTTTTNTTTTTTTTTGCAGCCGCTCTCCTTCATCTACTATTGTATTCCATCTTGAGAGGATAAAAACGGTGAGTTATTTTTGCTGCAAATGGTGTTTTAGTTAACTTATGCTTATTAGTGAATGAATTTCAGATGGCGTTTTTGCTTACTGTAGTCAGCTATTCCCATCAAGACCCACGCGTACGCAATGACCCACATTGTACAGCTCGTCCTAGCACATCTTCTTTCATTTTTCTAGCCTTATTCTCGTCCAGCCCCTTTTTAACGACTTTTTCGAAGCCTTTTAACGCTTTGGCAATACCGATTCGCGTGCTTTCTTCGTCTCCATCGACAATTCCCCACCTTCCTCTCTCATTTTTCGTCATAATCTGAATAACCCAACATTATCGTAAACTCTGCCTTTGAATTAAATAAAAGAATAGCCTTTCCTGCTCTACGACATCGCGCGGCCGTACAACTGATCTGCCAAAGGCTGGACGACGTGGAGTAGACCCTCTAACTTGCCATATCGTGCGAAATTCTTCATACCAATATTCTCTTCTATGAGTCCAAGAACCGCGATGCTTTACGAACGAGAAATGCTCCGACAATTGTTATCGAACTCATGTAATACTGCTTTCCTCATGTGAAGCGGTTCTAAAGCCGCAGAACTATGTGTAGAACGAAGGAATGCGCCTGCTTCTATTCGCTGGGGATGTGAATCTTTTTCTTAAATGTTGTCTTTCTGATCTTCAAGGTTCACCAGTGGCTGAGCAATGTCATTATGGTATTTTTGAGAATGAAGGCCAGATTTCCAACAATTAATAAACAAGCTGATTAACGTGAGGACATCACTTGCTCAGTAGAAAACAGATCTAAGAAAATTGCAAAGAATGAAGGGAAAAACCATAAGCAGCTAAATAAATGTTCGAAAAGGAACCTCTGTAATAAGTATTGAGCACGATTGCCGAATTCAGTGACAACACTAAATTCCGAATTCCTTACAAATCAACAAACCGTAGTGCTAGATAAGAATATATCAATACGCCTATTCCTGGCTAAAGGAGTCTGCCATCACGGTTTACTGCACGCACACGAAACATCGTACACTCATAAAAGAGTATTCTGGAGCAACAAGGATTTTCTGACANTTCAGCGTACTTATTGCTTATGCAGTTGATGTCTTGTCGTTAAAGATCGATTTATAGGTCAGATTACTGAACAACGTATCAATGTTTCACTGAGTGCCCACTTTGCCTGGTTTCCAGCCCCCTTTTTTTCCTCAATCAACTTGGAGTACAGAACCTTAGGTAGGTGGCCAGAGGTCATTCACGAGGCTAGCACATTTCTTCTTTCTTTTTAGACACCTCCCTGTACCATTTCGTCGGCGAATGGGACTTCATTGCTCCTTCGGACTCTCGACTCGGAAGTAGTGTGAGACTCGCCTGCATGCTGACCGCCGCACTAACTTGAAGTTGTCCACCCTCTTGCAACCATCGGCAGAGCAGAAAAATCTGCTGCATAGAAAAGCGATCTCAATAATTGCAAAAAAGGGGGTTGGGTAATTAGCGCACCGTAACACCCGCATGGTACGGGACCAAATCCCGGTTCGATTTTTGCCTTGGCAAGTCAAGCATTTTATCCTCTCAGCAGACTCGTCTAAAAGCACTGACTTGTACATCGGCTGCCAACGCAAGTCATTGTATTAGTCAAACACGCATTCATTACTACGCGACGGTTCTGAAGTCGAATTGAACTAATTGCAACTTTAAGAGCGAAAAGAAGCAATACTTTCTAATTCCTCCCTGGAATATTCGAGTACTCTGCACATAAAACCACTCTTTTTAATCTCTCGCGTAAATAACACTCTAAGGTTCGGTGACTTCCTCTTCTTGTCGGTTTTGACGGCCCCTATCGCAGACTTCTGACATAGTGACGCCCTCGACCTGCTGAGAAGTGCTTCTGAAATAAATGGTTCGAAAAGTTCATCGACTGTAGTGTACTTTGGACTTTGGAGTTTTCCTCGGGCTGGTCACCGTTTTTATCCGGAGCAGTAGATACCACCAGATAGTTATGAGTATGAAATACTTGAGCACTCATTGAAGTCAACCATGCTATGAGTTCTTCGTTAGCGGTACACCGCAATCTCGTGCAGTAGTTAGCAGTACACCGCAATATCGAGCATTATGTGCCTTGAGAAGGTTCGTATACAACAGAGTCAAAATAGAGAGTCATTACTATCGTGACCTCATATTCAAAGATACTGCAAACTTGTTCAACTCACAACCCTTTTTTTGAATCTGATTTCTAAATGCAAGGAGCTTTGTCCTGTAGAAATAATCTTTAATATACCTTGAGCAGCTCTGAGGAAATCGCTGATCAATCATAATTAACAGAAAAATCACGAAAAGGATTATACAGCGAAAAACTCGGAAAGGCTAGGAAGCAGCTGTTCTGAGAATGTTTACTTTAGAGTTATTCGTTCTTATCAGTCGAGTGCTAAGTCAGAGTGCCCCATTCTTTCGACTCTTTCGCCAGTTGCCAGTTCTGCTAAGTTCATTTAAATATATGAATGTAAGGGTAAGATTCTGAAGGAAGTATGAATTGAACAGCAAATTCTTTTCATATTCCTTTGCAGATTGACAACGAAATACTATGTGCTTCTCTGGCCGGAATACTAAGTGCTTCTCTGGCGGTTCTCTTTACGTCAATCCTTATAATAACGTGCAAAAAAGATAGGAAAACCGTTCATGCTCCTGGTGGCGTCCCTGCTCCTGGTGGCGCCCCCGAATCTTCGTCAGATAAAGCAAGCGCACGAGACGCGTCTAAATCAGCTTCATCGTCTAAGGCGAAGAAAAAAGAAAAAGAAGGCAAAAAGAAAGAGTCTACAAGCAAGAAAAAGGAAAAGAAGAAAGATAAAGAAGCTGCAGAAAAACCTAAAGCAGTCACAGAAAAACCCAAAGATCCTCTCAAGACGAAGATCCCGACGGCGTTAATATCAGTCAACCAAGCTCCTCCCGAGACGGCTCAACCGAAAACGGTCAAGACCTCCAAGCCAGTCGAGCAGAGTAGGGAAACTTTTTTAGCAACATTTTCAGTTGTTCATTTGCTCGATACACAAAGGATAATCTATCAGCCATCCTTACCAAGGGCTATCACTCAATATCACATTTTTCCACTGTTCTGCAAAGTTCGCTCCGTGCTTTCATTACAAGTTATGAGAGTCATAGTGACACAAACCCAGATCTCATGATGGAGGAACTTCCCCAGAGTATTGTAAGCGTGCATTTTGCGATTTGGCAAGGTAGCAAAGTGTACGGTAGTAATATTAAAACATTGAGTTCCTTCACATGCATACAAACGAATTTGTAAGCAGATCCACCATATTCACGAACTACCCTTTCCGATCACCAGCTTCGTAGCAGTTTGCATCAAAAGCCTTTTTTGAAAAATGCCTCGAGAATTGAGCAGGGTTCGGATATCAGCTGGTTCTGTGGTTTTGTTTTAGAGCGATGACTTTGATGTTGGGAATCACATCTACCTTATATAGTACCCTTCTGACCGACCTAAGGCAGTTCCATGGTGTTCAGTGACTGAAGGAGGCTAAGGAGTTTCTATTATTGTTCGGTGGATGTGATATAAAGGAGCAGAAGAAAATACCGACTGCTATGAAAAATTATGTTGTGGTCAACACTGCGTTATCAACCCGGTATGATATAACTGCTACTGAGAATTAGGGCAACCACTAACGCGGTTAGGTCAGCACCGAAATGTGCCTGCCCTAAAGATGAACGCATGAAATATATACTTGGCACACTTGGCCTCTCGAGTTGGATAATTGGCATCAGACTCGCTTGAAACCTCTGGTTTTTATCTCTGTTGCAAATTCTCTGAGGATCGTCATTTGCTAATCTGCTCAACGCTTCTGCTGCGGTCCATTCCTCGGTCGCGCGATGGGGCGTGTACGATAGGGAATAGGGACATCCAGATTGATGGTTTGTCAAGGGCGAAGCTTCCAACTCCTTTCCGTAGTCAACACTTCACCAGACCTTTCGCCAGCCAGCTGTCTCTTTTTGATCATTTGAACAACGGCCTAGAAGGTAAGTTTAACAAATGCCCGAGTGATGCTGAAAACGACATCAGGAAGTTCGTGTAGTCCAAGGTCCAGGATGACTGTGCATCGAGAACGAGCATGCTTCCGTTTCGCTGGCATAAGCTCTTGGACTTAGATGGTTTCAAGTCCTATTACATGAAGGATGGAGGCTTGGGACGTTTATTAATCCCTACCAAGGGATGCGCCCACGCATTCGACTTGCACTCAGAATCGTAGTGGAGATTGACTGCGTATGCTGCCTATACAATGACTTGCGGTAGCCGTCGATGTACAAGTCAATGCTTTACCCTCCCAAACGAGTTTGGTACCATTTAATCAACCCCGGAAGGTTGGAAGGCTTGGTTGGCCTAGGGATATCGATCCGGCAATCAAACCCGTGTGAGATAGTGCGCCACTTGCCTCTACACCACCTACGCCCTAAACTAGGTGGATAGTACCCATATAATGTACACAGAATTCCCCTACACAAGTGAACAGGGGGCAGCAATGAAATCATCGACATTTCGAACAAACAAACTTGGGCATTGCAAACTTTTGGTCGGAGTTGCAAGTGCTAATCTCGAGCATAGAGCCTCAGTCGTAGATTTTACCATCCAACTGGCGAGGTGTGGGAATGCAACTGGCAGGAAGGCGTCGTAATGGCTCAAAGAAAAAGCGGAATTCTGATTCCTGATATACTATATAGAGTGCCCTTACTAAATGCTATATAAAGCAGGCAGTATACTCTAGATTATGTCATGGATGAGGCACATGGACAGTGGTTCATGCCATGGGCAGCGCATACGGGAGGAATGTGTCGTGTAGGCTTCCGAAAAACCAGAACGCTGTTAGTGATAGCGTGATTCGCTCTGCTCTTCTCATAATCTTATCTCCTTTGGCATTCATCATAATTCGAAGGCTCAGCCAACCCTTGTCGAATAATTTTTTCAATTATGAGCCAGAGGGTGTAGTGGCAAGTGGCACATTCGCACACGCGTGGTCACTGGTTCGAATCGTGGATAGACATCCGCCTAGGCCAACCAGGACTTCCATCTTTACGGGCTGCTCAATTGGTAACAGATTCTTCTGGGAGGATAAAAGCACTGACATGTCCATTGGCTGGCCACCGCAAGTCATTCGATTAATGTCCCAAGGCTTCATTCTTTATTATGAGCCAAACTGGGCTGGTCACTACCGCGTGCGTGACCCAAAACTGGTAATTCATTCATCAGTCAATGATTCAGAAGACCCTAATGATAAGCGACAGTATCGATTCTCAGTAATGGTTCACCCTATCCAGCGACTACACGATTCCGCAAATCCATAAATCCCTCCACCTGAAAACTCTTATACACGCATACGGGGATGATCTGACTTTTCATTGACAAAGATAGTGACATGAACCAGGCCTCTTTCTCTGTCCTCTAGAAGAAAAAAGACTCGGCTTCCATAGAGCAGCACTCAACCTATCTGACAGTTTCATAACCTTATCTCCCAACCCCTGCATCAAGTCTTTCGTTCAAATATAGAGGTCGAATGATATGAAGTTCTTTTTTTCAGAAGAAGAGGCACAGGGCAGTGATCCAGTGAGTCCAACTAGCTTTTCTCGACTTTGCCGTTGTTGTTTTTTTTTNTATACACGCATACGGGGATGATCTGACTTTTCATTGACAAAGATAGTGACATGAACCAGGCCTTTTTCTCTGTCCTCTAGAAGAAAAAAGACTCGGCTCCATAGAGCAGCACTCAACCTATCTGACAGTTTCATAACCTTATCTCCCAACCCCTGCATCAAGTCTTTCGTTCAAATATAGAGGTCGAATGATATGAAGTTCTTTTTTTCAGAAGAAGAAGCACAGGGCAGTGATCCAGTGAGTCCAACTAGCTTTTCTCGACTTTGCCGTTGTTGTTTTTTTTTTCACGTAAGAACGACGGGATAGCATGGATGGAATAAATTGAGGTTTTCAAAGGTGATGGTGGTTAAACGCATTTTCAAGAATCTTTTCCGCATAACCCAGAGTAGACTTTGTTGCAGCTACTAGTAATAATCCATTTACATATAGCTCTTTAACCAGTAAGAGTGCCTTTTGGTGTGTATGCCGGTGTATGGTTGGTGCATCCGACCGGTTATCATACATGTGTGTTGCATTCAGGGTGAGGGTGACGGTGCATACGAAGACGTCAACCTGGTCGAATGCCAGGCTCCAGAAACGATGAAAGGTGAAACTGTTACTGAACCTTTGGTAAAAACGGTTCTGACAGAAGTGAAGACTGAACCAAAGACTGAACCAAAGCCTGAAGAACACGTAGTTGATGCTGCGGGTGAAGGTGAAAAGCCAATAGTTGACGCGGCTTCCAAAGATGCTTCGAGGTAAACTTTATTTCTTCCGACAGTTCTACATTGCCTCCTTCTTCTTTGGCTGTTCTAACGGTGTCTCATCTTTGCTATTGTTATATTTAGTTTGATGCTCAAAGTGCAACCTCCAAAGGCAACATTCAATCCGATTGGCGGCGTGTCGAACCACACTGTGACGAATAGTGGCAAAACAAGGCTGGTGTTCAAAATCAAGAGCTCGAACAACAATGATTACGGCATACATCCAGTTTTCGGATTTATTGAGCCGTCGTCATCAACGGTTGTAAAGGTTACTCGCTTACCAGGAAATCCCAAAGAAGATAAAATGATTATACAGTGGGTAGAAGCACCCGGAACCGTGAAGGATCCCAAAGAGGCGTTCCAGCTGGCTTCGCCTTGGTTGGTACAGTCAATGAAAGTTATAATGGAAGTAGTCGCAGGAGCTCCAGTTATTCCAGAACCCGGAGCAGCGATTCAAGCATTGCCCCCTCCTGTAAAACCGATTGCTCCCTTAGTAGCTCCTCCTCCTGCTAGATCTCCAGTTCCTATAAGGGCTCCTCCAACACCACCAGGAGCAGCTCCTTTGAAGCCACCTGTTCCTCCAGTAGTAGCTGCACCAGTTCTCAGTCCTGCTAGATCTCCAGTTCCTATAAGGGCTCCACCAACACCACCTGTGGCAGCCCCTGTAAAACCACCTGCTCCTCCAATAGCAGCTGCACCAGCGCTGAGCCCTTTGAAACCGATTATCCCTCCGCCCGCTCTCAAAGCCCCCCTACCGCCGGTATCTCCTGGCTCTCCAAAACCTCCCGTTCCGGCATTACAACCTCCCGCCCTCGTGAAAGGTCCTCCTCCGAAACCATTCGTGCCAGGGATACCGGCCGCTCCCGTTTCATCAAAAGGTCCTCTTCCTGGGCTGGGCAAGCCACTACCTCCACCCGTTATTTCTCCATATCCTGTACCTAAAGGCCCTCCACCGGCCCCAGCAGCGGGCGTAGCTGGAACTGAAGGCGTTCCAGTCGTGAGCGTTTATGCCACAGGAGGTAATGCACCTTTCGCCGCTGCCACCGGTCCCAAGTCCATGGCTTTTCCAGGAATGACTGCAGGAACTCCTCCCCCGCAACCCCCTAAAAAATAGGGCCTCTTGCGTGTATTGTGGTGTGTCGTTTAAAGAATATAATTTTGACAAAATCTATCGTCTAGAATGTGTAAATATTAATGAAGTACCAAAGAATCAGCGCGATTGAAAAGCTTNATTCCAAGTACTTCCTAATTTCCAAATAGGTAAGATTTAAGTGATCTGTGTAGTTGAGCTTCTGTGACAGATACTGTGCCTGATCAATGTTAAAGTCGAATTGTTCACTATTTGGAAGTTTTGATAGCAATAAAGGATTAATATAAATGATGTGTTCGTGGATACAAAGCATGAACAGAGGGCTACCTCCGTGAAATTTCATCCACACTCACAAGAATTCTTCTCTTCCCGTTAAAACTTTATGAGCTCGCTAAGCCAACTCCCCCTACTTTGAGCTCAAGCGCTTGATGTTGGAAAAGTGCGGTGCCCTCTCCCCCAACAACACTTTCACCCACAAATTTGAGACGCTGACCTGTAATTAGAATTCATGAGCATTTCGGTGAGAAAAAAACCCCTAGACGAAGGGCCACAAAAGTCCCTTGCTCCTTGATCGCAATGGCACAATAAAACTAGGCGTGACTTTGAGGCGGTCGTCCGCAGTACGCGGTCTCCCTCCGGATCTAACGTCTAAAGCCTCCACCTATTTTTTGAAATGTTTCCATTACTAGGGAAGAAAAGGCTGCATGTAGGCTTTCACGAACAGGTAGGTGGTGTCCTCACTTGTTGTGCGGAACAGGTATAACCATTTCATGGTGATAGTTCCTATACATTATCCAATAGAATACTTTTGTACGTAGATAATGAGACCATTTACAATTAATTCCAGAATGCCATCTGCGAAGCCGCCAGTGACTCATGTAATATTCGATTTCGATGGGCTGTTAGTTGACACTGAACCTTGTTATACTCTTGCTAATCAAGCTATGCTCAAAAAGTATGGTAAAGAGTTCACCATGGAGTTAAAAGGAGGTTGGTATCTTTACAGTTCCTTATCATCTTTGCAGTTTAAAGCCTGTATAAATAATTTATAGTGTTGTGATGGGTTTGACATGTGGGTGGTCACTCAGTAATTTGGCCGCGGTAGTTGGTATACATCGTAAGCAACGCTGGTTTGTGTTGGGACGAGACAATGGCTTATCGTACTTTGGGCTAGATTGAAATCCGATACAGAGTTGGAGGCATTATTACGTCGTGAAGGTTTATTAGGGAAGATATGAAGTATAGCAGTTACAGAGGTGATACTTTTGCGCTACGTTTACTCGTGAGCATCAATCCTAATTTTCGACCTCGAAGAAGCGTAGCCCGAAAGCTCTTGAAGGTGTTGGTTCCGTTTCCTCCTTTCACACCTCAACGAATACTGCAATTTAACAATGTTTCTGTTATGGTTAGAGAGGAAACCATAAGTAGATGATACCTTATGCAAAAGTGATATCGTTTTCAGACCCATGCTTTGCCTTAGATTAGGCGTTATTCATCATTCGAGAAAGGGAAGCAATGGGATATGAAATCTGCTCTTAGTAGCCTCCATAGAAGTGCCGATGTTGGGAAGCTGACTGAGAGACAGCAAATTATGAATTTTGGTGCGTGATTACAAAATTAAAGTCTTATTTTCAGGAATGATGGGTCGTAAGAATATGGAAGCCATTGCTTGGTTGTTGGAACAAGTCAGTTTCTTACGTTTTCGTTATTTTCATGAATTGTCAAGTCGGAGGTTTCTGTACATAAATGTGTGTGTGTTTAGAAACGAATATTTAGAAGAACTAGCATTCGAGCAGTTCCTCTAAATAATCTTCTCGATGACAAAAGAAAAGCTCATTGGGTCGAAGCTTCTAGTGCACTTCAGCTTTCGCTACAAAATTAGAAGTAGTTCCAAACTGTGCTGGGGAAACTTTACGCGTGCTCAGGGCATCTATTGGGAGCTCCTTCAACCTCGAGCGTCCACGTAGCAAAGTGGAATTTTGTTATAAGCCACTATCTGCTCTGAAGGATTTGATAATCATTTTTGCGACGTTCCAGACATTTTGTTGAACAGTTTTGAGTTTCAGGTCGGTATTGCGGACCGGGTAAGTCCCGAGGAGTACGTGATCGAATATGACGCCATGTTAGCCGATATGTTTCGCAAATGTAATAGCATGCCAGGTGCAGAACGCCTTGTGCGACATCTAGCCAGTAAAGGTAGCATATCATTTAAATAGAAAAGGGAAGGTCACATGCTATTATGGTGAAAGAAAAACGCAATAGAGTTCCCATTCGGGACCCACCGTCTGTACCAAAATGAATAATCCAAATTTAATATACTGTTGTCCGCTTGATTTTATTACCAGGTACTACAGACATAGTATGGTCGTACTAACTAGCTAAGAAGGGGTGGTTTGGTGTTGTAGGTGATAAAAAAAAGAGGTGCCACAGAATCGCCTTAATTAGGCTTGTGCCATGCTCGACCACGCTTCCTTAGAAGCTATGAAAGAGCGACAGCGGAAACTCACGATTGAACGCACTTTGGTGCGATATGGCAGAACGGCAGCAGCTGAGGTGGTAGGAAAACGGAATGATCGGTCACAAAACTCTATACCGTTGTTTACCTTCCGGAACAAATGAAATTAGAGCAAAGCGGGTTGTCAGTTTGTTAAGAGCTTATAACAAGAGTTGTGACATTCGGTTAACTTGGAGAAGCTCTAATACTATCCAATACCGCGAGACGTGTTCACTTTTCCAGATCCCTCAGTGTACGTAGCAACTCTTCTGATTTTCAATCACTGTCGGGAGGACTTCAACTCAGGGTTCCCAATTCTCACTGTGTTTTCAGGCTACGGCCAGATGTGCTCATACCTTCTGTAAATGAGAAACATGAGAAACCAGTCCGCACTTCATAAACATCGTCCATGTTAAATTCAGTTGCGTGCCGATTTTTCTGCGGGCACCTTGAACAAAACCAGCGTTCGCTCCGCTGGATTCAAGTGCGGAGTTGTAAGCCTAATGTTGTCAACGAAGCTGAGGTGGTTATTAATTGATGGTCTCGACTTGCACGTTATTTGCCCTCCCTTTCCTATTGACGAATAACTTTCGCTCAATAGATTTTGCAAGGCTCAATGGAGTCTTTGCTTTCACTTCGATGACCGCCTCAGCGAAGAGCAAAGTTTGAATTCAAAGATCTGCAAGTTGTCGGCGACGCATCGGTAACATGAAGTTTGAAGATGAAATGATAGAGAATTGTGGTCCGATTCAAAGTTCTCTATTAAGGTGTTCCTATGGCCATTTGTACGGGATCTTGCAGTCGCACGTTTGCCCAGAAGGCACAAAGACATAGAGATTGGATTGACATCATACCCATTCATGTGAGCTTGTGAACGTTAAGCTTTTCAAATGTAGCAGGTGCCTGTCACGGGCTGAAAGCAATGTAATGTGTGGTCCAATTTTGAAATGTTCACAGGTGCTCAGCGGAGACGACGAAAATATCAAAAGGGGCAAACCTTTTCCGGATCCATTTCTCGAAACAATGAGAAGGTCATTCTAAGTTTCTTCTACAGCCTCTCTCTTATTAATTCTGTAATAGCTTCGTCTCAGTCCTCAGCGAGCTTGAATAGATCTTCTTCAGGTTCCCGCATATACCCACCGATCCATCTCATGTGCTTGTATTTGAAGATGCTCCAAACGGTGTGAAAGCTGCCTATGCCGCCGGAATGCAGTGCGTCATGGTACCAGATCAGGCGTTCCTCGAGGACGCAAGACTACTGTGGTATGTTTTGAGTAATTTGCTTGTGATTTGACCCTTATCTTGCAAAATTCCTCCGTGTTGTGGTAAGAATAAGAACGAATATATATTGCCAGTCTCCAAACATGGAAGAAAACTAAGAAAACCTTTGGTTTTTTCTTCTTAAGCCATGACTTAATGTTAGTATTCTTCGCACAGGTTGATGCCGAATTCGTAAATGAAAAAAGGAAATTCATCAAGCGGTTCGATTTTGGTTTATTAAAACCTCCTTTTAACCCTTTTGTGAATTCATCGAGAGCGTCATACATTTTTGCGGTTGGTCGAAATAGTGAGGCAGTAAACATTTGATTGGACTTGGACATTGGATTGGTGTGAGTTCAGTAGACCATTGTGGTGGTTGGTTTTAAGAGGTCGCTACACGGTAGACCCAAGTTAGGGAAGAACAAATTCTTAATACATGTTATCGTTTGGATTCAGAGCACCATATTGACCTTACGCGGTCGCAAGCGTAAGCATCACCAGAGATTGGTTACCAATCGCATTGATTTGTTTATACCGAGTTCATCTCATTCTAATTAATTAAGGTAGGGCCGTGTGTTATACTTGTTGCGCGTGCGTAATTCTAGGCAGTCCTCTTCAGAAATTTTAGGACTTTGGGCATTCCTCTTCGTAATTTTTTGACCACAATATTTGTATTAAAATGCCAGGAATTATGCGGAAATTTGACAAAGGACCATTAGGGAGTTCGTTATGATAAAGCTATGTAACTGCTATTCAAGATGTAATGTCGTTAACGCTAATGGATGGAATCCCGTTCTTGCTTCTGACCTTAAAATATACATCCATCAGAGCTCAGATTTTCCACGGTCTATTGGCCCAGCGACTGCTTTGTAACTTACTGCCCTGACTAGTTTAATGAACCCCTGAGTAATATTCATTGTTTGTACTGATGATAAAACCATTATTAGAAGTCATTGTTCGTGCGCCTTCTTATCTCGTAGGCATAAATCATTCGGCGGAATTCCCAGATTATCGGTTGTCGGATTAATTTTTATGAATTAACTGATATCGGGAGGAAGGGAAACAAAACATGATTTCTTATTACCTTCGCGACCTTAATGCACAGTAGTCGTAATCAGATTTTGCTCTCCTTTTACGGTTTTGGTTTTGATCAAACCTTACTGCTATTGTCGCTTTTTGCAAACTCTCCCATTCCGTATAATCATATGAAACAAACTAAGCTGCCAAGGCTAGACCGTAATCAAACAGTGGAAAACCAAATGGTTCCATATTCTCCTAACGTCCTTACTCTTACTTGATTAGTTACCGGCCGGGTCGCCCGCCTTACGCCGAGCATCATTCCTCCTTTTTCCCTTGTAGTTAGAAACTGTAGTTAGGGGGGAGGGGCTAGAGTGCAGAGGATAGTTAGGCGACCTGACCTGTATTCAGAAAGGGTTCTACGCGAAGAATATCGTTTCAAACTAAGCCTCAGTAAGGGAGGGGCGGCGGGCGGCGGGGTGGGAGTGAGATGATTACACATACTAAAAGCCAGGATAGGGTATGAGTTGATTCAATTGGCTCATCCTCCTCGGTACCCCTTCCGTGCTGAAGCTCTGAAAAAAATGTGTTCTCGGCTATGGAACGGTAATGAGCACAATTATGGGCTATCCTCCTTATGTTGAAATTGTGTTGAAAAAAAGCGGAGGTCTCCCAACTACATTATCAGCTCCGAATTTTGTAGAGACATACATAGCACGATGCCGGTACAGATCGAAATTACAGTTTTGGCGCACTCACCTTCACTCCACATCACTCCCTTCGCTCGGCAGCACTCACTCTACTCCATCAACCTACCCACGTAGTGACTGTCTTATATATAAGAAGAAAGTGTAGAATAGAGCTAGGTCTTGCATATCACTACTTTTATCATAATCATAAGTTTTGTGGACGGATAGACCGACAACCCGACCAACCGACAAACTTACAAATAGACACCAGGTTTCTGCTTTATAAATGAGAGAGATAAGCCTGTTCTTTCTCCCGTGATCTGTTATTCAGTCGATTTCTATGCAAATCCAGAAGTAGCAGTGCTGAATATCAAAAGTGAAAGTGGACTGCCGTCTTTTGCTTTTTAATGTCCTTTAGCAACTATTAAGTGTTGTCAGTCGCCGCACTCCACATCATCCCACTTGTGTGCCACGTTTTCACTGTTAACACAAAAGACGTAGGAGTCTCCGTGGTTTTTGCCTTCTGGGGTCTCTTATCAATCCTTATCAGTTGTTATCAGTTCCTCTCATCAACCATCGACGATCCCGCCGCACCCCGCGTCACATACGAAATTCTCAACGCTCAGCTATATTGCGAGGCGCAGCTATTATTCCAGGTCATACGATCTTCCTTGCATTCCGATCGTATGAGTGGTGGTCATCCACATGCTTTCTCCGCATAGCAGCCTCGAAGCATCAACCAACACTTTCTATGCAATCTCCTTTGTTTTAGTTAACTTCAAAATACTCGGATGAATCCTTGAAACCTCCTGTAAAGTTGTAATCGCTCCATTTGCCAGGCCGTCGCTGGGAGCGTTATAGGAAATTCAGACAACTCTAAATACGATCGCACCATAGCTTTATTCAAAGCACCGACATACATTGATAGTGATGTTGGTTTCTCTTAATAAATACGGTTACTGGCAACTTTTTTTTATTTCATGGTTGGATCACGTGGTTAGGTTGTGTATCACGTTGTGTTTGTTGTAAAACGTAAAAAGTACCGATGCACTTTCTTAGTGGCTGTGTTGTTCCAGTGTCGACAATGTGCTCTCGAGTCTTGAGGACTTCAAACCCGAAGAATTTGGTTTGCCGGCTTTTGATTGAGGCGCGCACAGTCGGAAAAGTTTCTTTCCTCTCGTATCCAGTGCACGTGGTGTAGCCTTATAAACTATCGATCCGATATCGATATTCTCTGAAAGTCTCTCGGACAACAGAAAAGTGGGTATTTTACAGGCTGTTACACATATCTTATCGTCTTTGTATCTCATTGTAAGAACTGCCTTTGCTTCAACCGGCCTTTGCTGCCATGAGCTTGCTTGTTTTTCAATTGCGTGACTATTTCTTTTGCTTAGGAAGTATTTCATTAGGCTTTTTCCTTCCAAACGCCTTGTCATTTTCACATTTCGCTCAGATTTGCTTCCATATCAACTAGATAGCGGTTTCAATGTGTATCCATCAACCGAGAATAAACGTTCAGGTTGCAGGGCCTGGTCTGAAGATATTTCTGAATTATCTTGATGATCCGTTTTGTCTTTTTTGTGATCTATTATAGAATCAGTATAAGGGTAGTTTTTCTTAATTCAAACCCAAGCGAGAGAGTTTTGCGGTCCTGGTTTGAGAAGGCTGCGTTTTTACGTTTTTTCCATTGGTCTCATGTGATGTCAAAAAAGGAAAGGCAAATTCCGAAAAGACACTAACAATAGATGCTGGCTAGTGTTTGCGAAAAAAATGTGAAGCGTTGGAGTTTTAAAGAATGCAAGAACAAAAATTAGAAAAACCATGAGCAAACCTACAATTTACGACTTTCCTCCATCCAAAAAAAGTACAAATTAAGAACAGTGGTTTCTCCTAATGATAAGTTCTTCTCATTTGATTGTGCCCAGTTCGCATGTAGCTCTTTTCATTAGGTCATCTTATTTGTTGTCGGTTTTTGACGCTCCTCGTTCTTTTAGTTTATGAAGTAAGGATTATGACTCGCTGTTTCAGATTTCCTTCTCATAGGAACTCATTCGGCAGTAATGAAGTCGCCTATAAAAGTAACACATTTGATTTTTGATGTCGATGGAACTCTTCTAGATACCGAAATTTGTTATACTTCCGTAAACCAGGCAATGCTGAAAAAGTACGATCGAGAGTTCACTCCATACATGCAAGCACGTATGTCACATTCTTGTTGAGTTTGTTCTCGAAATGTTTCGGTTTTAGGTTTTGATTTCGAAAAAAGAAAAAAAAAGCCAGCTAATCGCAATCATTTTCCATATCGGGATGCAATAGAATCTTTTCTTACAGAAATGAGTGCTACTTTCCCGGTATTACTGTACATATTGTCGTTCCAGAGATGATGGGTAGAGGCGGCGTTGAAGCCAATGCATGGCTTTTGAAAGAGGTAAGTCAACCTAAGGTCCTTCTACTGAGTCTATCACTATGTTTGGAGTGATACTAATGTTGGATCTTCCTTTCACTTCTTATCTTCTTCTTATCCATAGGTTGGTCTCATTGATCAAGTTTCGCCCGAGGAATTCACGGCTGAAAAGGATGCCATGCTTGCTAAGATGTTTCCCGAATGCCGTGCATTCCCAGGTGCTGAGCGTCTTATTCGGCATTTTGCTAGAAAACGTATGTCTCTGGATCTGTAGCATTGCTTACTGTACAGAATTATGTATTACTGTTCTTTAAAAACTTTTTTCAGAAGTACCAATGGCAATATGCTCAGGGTCTTGCTGGCACAAATTCGAGCTGAAGGCCACCAAACATCGCAGTTGGTTGGACCTTATCCCCATTAAGGTAGTTTCTTTGAAAAAAGTTAGCTTTTGTCGGTAACATCTATCATCGTAGTAAGAATATGGCGTATGATTTGGATGCATTGCTCTGCTTGTGAAGCTCACGCCATAATATTTATAGGTGTTCTGCGGAGACGACAAAGCTGTCAAGCGTGGAAAACCTTTTCCGGATGCCTTCATTGAAACCATGCGAAGGTAGGATCCTACAAAGTCAACAGAATTTTGGCTTCCATTTGGAACCGATCTAGGAGTAATGCACGATATCTAAGGCGGAAAGGATGTATAGAATTGGTAAAAACGGAAGAAGATGAGCAGATGTTTGACGACTCGAGGGGTAGTCGTTCACTGATTACTTTTCTTTCACTGATTACTTCCGGTTTTATCTTTGGACACTACGTGTGCTCTCTTCGTAAATATTGTAGCGGAACATTGAACGGTCATACGAAACCCGAGTAATTCAGTGGTGTATGGTGATTGATGTTGGCGAGCAAAGTTTGATAGTTTTGTGGAGTGTTTATACAATTGGGAGGCTTAAAATAGTCTTCAACGATTTGTGGTGAAAAAAATCGTGAATTTAAGGTTCGCGAAAAGGTCAAGCATCGGTGCAAATGATATGAACACATGTGCTTTCATAGTATATACAAGTAATGTCGCTTTGGTAAAGGATTCAATTGAATAAGCAACGGAAATCAGCAGCTGAATTTTAAGAAACATCGGAATTGTGCGTATGCAACTTTAACGGGTAGCAGTTGCGCGATTCTTCTGCTGAGAGAATGTTCCGCTGCCTTGTCGAAAGTTGGGCACATTTTTGCAAATGTACCCGAATATTAGTCCTTTTGGGCTTGCGTGCAGTACTTGTGTACATGGTAACTCCTACATATCAGATTAGTACATGCTCGCGTTTTCATGTGGCGCTCATCACTACAACAGTCCTTGTGAGTGCATTATGTACTTGTATGTATCAGGATTTCATAGAAGTTGTGACTGATTGTCATTTAAAACTCCAGCAGTACCGTACACAAAGCGCAGCAATTTGATGATTGGATAGCCCAGTCCGCGTTTATCATTTTATCTCTACTACGACCATGGGGCTTTTTTCTATTGTTACTAATCAACATTTATGGAAAGTCAGCTGTCATCGTCTTCGATGGGAGCTTCATCACTGAAGTTGATTTCTCGAAAATAGTCGAACCCCCTGATTCCCAAGACATCTCTCTTCTGAACTCTCTGTGCCAGCTGCTAAAGCACTGATCGTGAGATCTCGATGTGCAGGTGTCCATGTAAAGCTTTACACGACGTTATAACTTTTTTATCTAGCTAGCATTGTCGTCTTCACAGCGCAGCCGTACAGGATTGTTATGACTGAACCGCTTTATTGGTCAACCTTTCGACTGAATCGTCGTCTTCAGGAATTGAAAATTGTTTGAAGCTCGTAATCTGTGTCTTACCTGACCAAGCGCCCAAACACTAGGCTAGTCCCTGACTTGAACCTCAAACTCACTCGTTTCTATCTTGTCGTCTTCGTCAGTACCTGGAAAGAGAAAATGTTTGAGATTCATCCTTGCCAAATGCCATTTCGGTCTTCAGCTTAGCTCAAGTATAACTTACAAATATTTAGAAAGGCCTCACAGCTACAACTCTGGACCCACCTTGAATAGAGAGAGGAAAAGGAGAAGAAGATATGAGATATCTTCGTTTCTACATTCAGTAAGAGTTCCCAGTTGAGCTGAGCTAAACTCGGAAATAGCGTCTGTCAAGGATGATCCTCAAATCTTTCCGGCTTGCAGGCTCCGATCAAGGCGACAAGGCAGAAATGTTATAACATCGTGACTGAGGATTTACATGGACACCTACACATCAAGATAAATACATATCATGCCAAGTCGAGAGCCGAGCTGAGCGTGGTTACTGATCATGAGAACCATTGGTGATTTAGCTTTTGTGTGACGAATTCCCTATACAATGGTTGATATTATCGGTACACGCTTTTTGCTTAGGATGACAAGGTTAACTTGAACCATGGATCAAGATTGACGTTCTCGCTCACATATGTACTTTACTTTGATACTTTAAGGTTCCCTATTCCTCCCACCTCTCCTCAGCACGTATTGGTTTTTGAAGATTCTCCCAATGGAGGAAAGGCTGCCAAAGCTGCAGGGATGCAGTGTGTTATGGTTCCAGAGCCGCAATTTCGTAAACAATGTACTGACCTCAAGTAAGTTCATTTCTTTATACCAACGCAGTGGAATGTGTGAGTGCATATAGTAGCTGCCCTCCAAATACTATAAACGACTCTGAGAACGGGGTTGTGAAGCTTTTTTTTCTGGGTCTATGATTGTTTTTTTTT